ATTCTTGCATGTTAAAATTAAACGCTTTAACGTCTTCATCGTGCCCCAGCACGTCAGAGTAGACCAGTGTTTTAACAATGATGTAAACTGAAAGATACTCTTCTATAATGCATGGGTCCAGTATTAGATTGAAAAAAAGGAGAATGAGAGTTAGGTCATTAATGACAGTTAAGTTTTTCACAAAAATTTTTATAAAATAAATAAATATTAATTTAAATAATTACTAACGAAAATTTCTATTATGATTTAAGAGTTATATTTAATATTTAAATGCTTATTTATAATTAAAATTTTTGAATTCATAATTATTTGGATTGATATTTTTAACTAATTTTTAAAAAAATTATTAAAAATTTAACTATTATTAATTTAATATTTTAAAATCTAATCGTGATTGTCTCTAAATAAATGAATATACAAACTGTACTTGATATCGATTGACTTGTGCATATGCGACTTCCGAGCATATTCTACTTTATCTTTATCTACACTTCTTTTTACTTATGAATTTAATTACAACTAGTCACACGCACACATTAATTTTTTATCTCTCTTTTATGATGAAAAATATTTTTTATATATGCCTGCCACCGCTAGTCACAGAGCAGTAATGATTAAGAAAGTGAATACTTTAAAGCAGCTAGTAATCTTAAATTTAAAATTTTGACTGCAAATGCACGAGGACTCGTACATTCGCAGATGTGGTTCCCCCACCCCCCCCCCAAAAAAAATGTATAGATGAATAAATGCAAGAGTGAGACACTGATGGGAAAAATTGAATGAGTGAGACACTAATTAATTAACATTGGTTTCTTAACTTTAAAGTATGGTCTTAACAACCATGATTACACCTTTTTGGTTCCCGTACAATTATCAAATGATATGATGAATGTAGTGCTGAATAGTCATGCATACATAATATACGCGTGCGCGCTCCCATGGCTGATTGTTAGGCTTGCATTTCGACGGTGTCTCTTCCTCCATTTGGAAGATCCGATGGCTCCAATTCAATGATGCCTTCGCCTTTTGCCATTTAACAATTTTATAAAACTTAATATCATGCCGATTTTTTTTTAAATATGATTTAACATGGAAATAGACGGTGGATCATGTCAAATAATATTCCTACCAGTCAATGGAAAGGCGAGGGATATCGGTTTTTCACCAAGTCATTGATTAATCGAGATGAGTTGACAAAATATAAGCTAATCGGTCCCTATTCGTTTCACTTAAATTAAATTTCTTCCTTCCTCTTCCGTTGATAGTATCGACAATTTGTTTTAGAGTTTGGTCCCCACACTTCCTGGGCTTCGATACCCCCAATATGTTAAAAATGCAACGTCGTCCACTCAACATGCTTCTCATCAGGCTGTAGCCGACGTTTGTGTCGTTTCCATACAGTATATACTTGATTTTCAAAGTAAACTATTTTCCCACACACAGCACATGCCCGCACAGAGAGCAAAACGATGAGAAATGGCTAAGCCAGGCCCTATAAAGGTTCCCGCCCTCCCTCCCTCCCTCTCTTTCTATATATATATATATATCCACACACACGGATAGAGAGAGCAAAACGACCAACGCAACGGCATGTTTGTAGCGTCGTTGCAAGCATGTTTTGTCATTATGTTGGAATGATTACTTTGTTATCATCGATGATTATTGACGTATGGTGAAGAAGCAGACATGGAGAGTCCAACTTTAAACAATGATACGCATTTGAAAAACGACCAAAAGGAAACTTCTTATTCACTGAGTTCAGGGAATGATACAAAAAAGGGCACCCAGTTTGTACTCATACATAACATAATCCACAACCTTTACTTGTTTGTTCTACTCTCTCCCCCCCTATCCCCCCCTCCCTCTCTTTATCTCCCTCTCCTTTGCCCTTGCAGGAGCTTGCGTCTTTCCTAAGGCCCAGTACATAGCCTTGTTTTCTCTCTGCTGTTGGGCAATCAAATCTTCACCGGCAAAAAGTTGGCTAATTTTGACATCATTATTGTCCTCTCCTCCTATTAAATTAAACTCATTTCTATCCTCTCTTTTGGCAATTAAGAGCTACGGCGTAGGGCCTTCCACATCAAGCCATCAAGGTGTATGTAAATTAAAGAGATAACATCCTCTTATTGTTGGTAAATTGTACAAGTCTTGTATGCATTAGTGCATAAATAAATGAGTTTCTTTTTTATTACCGTTTTTAAAGTTTTCTATGAACTATGTTATTAATTATAAAAATTAAGAAAATTCATGGCGGACAGAGTGTTAAGGGCGAGGGATACTGCTAGCTCAATGATTTAAAGAAAAGGTCGAGTGATGATGGAGATTTTAACATATTGAGGAACTAGGAAGTTGCATGAGTGGGACCTTCCGGGGCTATACCATTGTGCGTGGTAGACATAGTGGCAAACTGGCCATTTCCCTTTTAAGCATGCACGGCAACTTTATTCATATGGAAAGCCACCGCACTGTACTAGCTACTATTCTCTATCTCTCTCTCTCTCTCTCTCTCTCCCTTTCGACGTGTTCTCCATCTAACACTTGTCTTGTATCCGAAGGTTTATTTTATCTTTTTAAAGGAAATTTGGGTGAACAAATTTAAACTTGATTTAGAGAGGGATTATTGGGTAACTAGTCAATTATAGCTATATCCCATTAATTATTTTCTTTTGAATGAGGACTAACGAAAACAATTAAACAATATTCAACCCTTGCCATCAGGGCCAGCTGTAAGGCCGGGAGAGAAATCTATTTTACCAATACAGGAGAAAAAGAAAATGCCATGAAAAAGAAGAACTCGTAACATGCACCTTAAGAAAGGAAAAGGCATATCGCATCATTCGCCAGAGAATATGGCTGACAGCTTTTTCTTCATTTTTTCCCCCTTCCCTTTCCATACAGCCTATATACATATCATCGATCAAACACTTTTAAACGCGTGTTGCCAGTGTCAAATGTGCCATAGTTTTTCATGTTTAACCAACTAATTTCTATAATTTCTTAAATATTTAAAATAAAATATATATATATATATATATATGTACTAGATAAAGTCTTGTTAAATTGATACACTACGTGCTCAAGGGAGTACCGGCGTTGGCGTTGGCGGTGCTAGCCGTTGCGTGCGAACATTAAAGCCGTTTTAATTAAGTTTGATTTCGACGGATTGATAAAGAGCCGACGTAACGTGGTTGCGAGTGACAAGAACCAGCTGCCTCGTGACGCTTTCTTTCTCCCTCATCATCACTTGAAAATGCCCATCGCTTTACGTCCAAGCTTTTCCCCTCGCTTTTTTCCCCCCTTTAATTTTTACATAATTTTGTTATTATACCTTTTTTCGGCGTTTATCATGTTCTGGTCTTTTCGAACTAAAATGACAGGGTTAGATCCTCTTGGGGATTTTGGGTTCTTTTTCTGTTGGGTTTGGTAAATAATGATAAAAAGAATCTCCCGATACATAATCATCATTACGGTTAAAGCTCAAGCCTCTTGCTCTGATATCTCTCCTTTTCGTGGAAAAATAAAGTTTTAATTGCTGTGCCGTCCTTCCTTGATGCTCTAATTATTAACTGAAAAAGAAGGAATAAATAAGTAAAGGAGATATACTTTTAGTCTTGAGACACGTCCCCTAGATTCTCCTGTCTCCTCCCCATAGAATGAATAATTCGGGACCATGCATCACTGACTTCAAAAGTTATATCCTCTTCATGTCATTCATCATTTATACTTACAATTATTGCTCACTTTGCACCATCCATCACTTGGTTTCCAGGCCATTTAAATCTCACTATCCTATTTTATTATATCACTGTCCGTGAAACGGGTCGATCAAAAAGGCTCGCAATTAATCGGTGACATCTTAAGCTATAAAATCGATAGACTCCTCAACTTGGCAAGTTTTTTTTCCCTTTTTTATTGTTTAAATATGTTTATCCGTGGTTTTTTTCCTTGTTTATTCGTAAATGTTGTTTCTTAAAAGCGTTTGAAAATGGTGGGTCCAGTTAACGTAAGGTGCTGCCAAATAGGAACCATGGATTTAGAGAGTCATGTTATTATTACGTAGGGCCATCTCTTGCGCGAGCTTAATCCTCCATGACTGCGAACAATAAAAAGAAAAGGGAAAATCAGTTGATTTAGTTTATACGATTTTGATTCGATTACAACTTAATTTTTAAAATTTAATTTAGTGCAATCAAATCCCTCAATATTTTAAATATTTTATTTTTTTGGTCTTCACACTTTATCACTCTGTTACAATGCAATTCCTAAAGAACAAGATGATTTCTGAAAACAAGGGTACTGACAAATTGAACGAATGAAACCCGAGAGACTGTTAGCAGGATGAATTAAATTTTACGAGCTAAGTTGTGATCAAGTTAAAATTACAAGGGCTAGATGACTGTTTAAAAGAAACCATATGAAAAGCGGGATAAGAGTTCTGAATAATACCTTCCTCCATCCTCATTCTAAATCTGAATTTATAATGTAGCGACATTTGAACAAATTTGAAAAATTGACATGTTAAGACTTGAAATGAAAATTTGAATCTTCTCAAGAAATGGGTGAGAGAGAGAGAGAGAGAGAGAGAGCGAGACAGGAGAGAGCCGAAAGGGACATAGAAACTGGACCCGTGATGGTCAGTGAGTGCAGGACATGGGCCCTGGACGAAATTGCCTAGTGGAGCCCACCATGCAAAAGAGCAGAAGAGCGGGAAGATGATTTCTCTCTTTGCTTCATCTCAAATTTTCCTCACTCCTTAGTGTTTGAATTTCTTGTCTGGAGCGATATTTGGTCAAGTGCCCGGAATTATTCGACCAAAAAAATTGAGTGAATACAAAATTCATACGCTTTATGAAATATAATTATCAGGTACATGGTTTTGATTTCCGCTGCCCCTTATAAGCAAGTCCTTCATGTTGCAAGAGCATCAAATTCAAATTTCTTATGATGACGATTTTAAAACTATTTCCCCGTTTTTCCCTTCTCTGACTCCGTTTCACTTTCTCCTGTTATGTTATCCTCGTCACAGTCACACCAACGTTCAGTCATGCTGATTCAAGTCCAGTTTGTAATTATTAAGTAAAAAAAGGGTACTAAAAATGAGTAAATACCAAGCTATGCAGGAAGGCCCATATGGTGTCCAATAATTTGTCGGCGTCGTGCTGATTTGGAAAATGAATTGGGAAACTGGCTTGGGAGAATCTAACCCAACAACCAATAACGAGGCAGCCCATTCTAGCGAAGCTTTTAGATTGACCCATTTACTTTTATGTCAGTTCCTTTCATTTCTCTCTTTTATGAGCACGCCCAACAAACCGAAGGCAAAAGGTAAATCTCTTTTTTTTTTTTTTTTTCATTTTACCTTGATCCCTTTGAAATTTTGTCAATCATTCAGCATCATCACAACTCAAACCATCTCTCCAATAAAATTATAAAGAAAGTTAGAGATTTTATTATAAAGGATCGAGTTATCAACTTCAACTATGTATTTTGTTTATCAAGCTTTGAATGACAATATTAATATCTTAATTTTTAACAATTCTTTATTTGAGTGTTGTACTCTTATATGTCTTGATTTGAACTAATTTTGCATGGTTATCAATGACCCTGTATTTAAGGAAATTGTTATATAAAAGATGAGATTTAAATCTTCAATTCAATTACTTATTTAAGCAATGAGAACTCTTATTACTTACATTAACTTTAATTGTATTGATTTTTTTATTTAATACTTCTCTTGCTAAAAAATATAAGATATTTTTTAAAGAGTTGAGAACTAAAAAATGTAAGATATTTTTAATATTTTAATGTGTAATTAAGATGTTTTTTAAATGCCCTTAACAAATGAATCATTTTATATTTATTTTTAAGTAAAATGTCCTATTAAATAAAAGTACATGTGAAAAAATGATGTTGGTTTAAAGATAATTAATTAATTTATTGGAGAGTGAGGTTTAATTAAAAATGTTTTATATTTTTTAACGGAAGGAGTATAACTTTATTTAATAAAATTCATTACTTTTTTTAACAAAAATAAAAAGAGGGAGCTAGCCAAAAATTACAACAAAATTTAAAAAGGGTGGAAATTAAATCTAAATGCACATTCTGCATCAGAGCCCTTGTGAAGGCAGGGGCCATTGTAAAAACTCAGGATTCATTGAATCCATTCTTTGTCATGTCAGCAGCACAATTGCCATATCTTGGAATGAAACTTGTTTGGAAATCTTTCTGCGTGCACTCTCAATATGTCTCGGATCTCCGGTAAAGCTGAGCTACTTCTCACATCTGTGAAAACATCCCTGATTCATTACTTTTAATAAATACATTGCTTTGGTTGAGTAGTATACAAGTTAACACATCTCAAGCGAGATTTGAGTTTACTTATAGATTGTTTTTCCTTTTTTGATAAAATACTTATAGATTGTTGTTGTTTGTGAGAAACATTCTTAGAGAACTCCCTTTAATTGGGCTGGGACTTAATTAATTCGTGTCAAATTCGAATAGCTACAAGATTATGAAGAATATGAAGATAATGTAATCAAGGACATAATTTAGACAAAATTTCCATCTAAATATACAACGCAGGGTTCCGCACTAGTTACTCACTAGCTATTTTACTGAGCAACACATGTAAAAGCATCGTATATAGGATATATATATATATATATATATATGTTCAGGTTTTATAACCATTAGTATTCTAATTTAACTAATATATTTTTTTTGGTCTCTGGAAGGAGCTTTGCAACAGTATATGTTATTATATTACTGGGAAGTAAAATGCTTACCGATAATATCACGCCTGCAATACACGTCTATTAGCTTATGCGCACTATATTCAAGTTAATGGTATTTAGAACCAATCCAAATCGATTGCGTTGAAACGAAACCAAACTGACAAACTAACATGAAACAATCAAAATTGATTATAAATAAATTTTGATTTCGTTTTTTATTTGACAAGACCAGCTGGTTCGTTTCATTTTTTTTTTGTTTCATGTTACAATTATTAAAAGTTGCCCAAAATTATTTATAATAATTTTTTAAATTTTATGATCACATGTTTCAATGATAGCATAATAGTTTAAGAGTGTGTGTGTTGATTGTGAAAATTATCTCAAAAACAAAATTCAAACTTAAATCACCCAATTAAAAAAAATCTAAATAGGTCTCAAAAATTTTAAAATTTTATTCCATTTAAATGCAGAACAAAAATGTAATAATTAATTTTACTTTTCAATATATTGCACCAAATGGTCGGTAAATTTTTAACTCTTAAACACATTTTATTGCAATCATTAATTTTAGTAAACAATAAAATTAGAAAATCAAACCTTTTTTGAAGTTAAAAAATGTAACAATTTTTTTAAAATTCATGAAATTATTTAACTCTATTCTTTGATTAAGATTGAGGAGCGTAAGTATAAGAAACCCGCATCTAATTTGATATTAATTATAATTTCACATATTTAATAGTTAAACTGATCATGCATTATAAGTTTAATACTAGTTGTACATAAATTTACAATAGTTAAAGTGATCATACATTACAAGTTTAATGGTAACGCATGATTGATTTAGAGGGAAGTTTTACTTGGTTTCTAAATTTTATAGAATTTACTTGTAAATAAATTTGATGCATTAAGACCTTTATATAGTTTTCCCTTGTTTTAATTTTTGAAAGACACTCTTGACGCATGCTCGTAAACTAAAGGGGATTACAAGCCCAATTTAAGTAACGGGACTTGATTGAGCTAGGTTGACCATCATCAAGAAAAAGAGCAGGACAAAAAAAAGTAGTAGCATATCACGGCATTGAAACTTCCCTTTTCTTAAACCGTGTTGGCCTTAGTTTGATCAACCTCTTGATCTTAACTAGGTCAGCTGAATTCATAAAGTAGGCAAAGAGACTTAAGAGAATTAGTCACACAAGTAGAGAGTAGAGAGCTTGAGTAAATGAACTTGAGAGCTTTATTGATTTGCTTGAGTAATTACAACTTAGGGGTGAAGGGGTATTTATAGGCTCCCCCTTCTTCCAAAAAGTTCCCACCTCTTTAATGGACGGTTGGGATTGATTTGATCCAATGGTGTACATTCTATCTCTAGAATATTCTATAGAAATATCTATAAGGAATATCTTGATATTTACAAGGAGAATTCTAGAATGTACAAGAGGAAGATATCTCTAAAATAATCTAGATACTTCAAGTGCTCTCTATACTATTCTAGAGATATCTAGGTCTTTAGAGGTCATACTAGTGTATTCCAGAAGTCTCTGGTGCTTTCTTGATTGTTCTGAATCTCTCTAGTCTTTTTTGGATTACTGTGGAAGCTTCTAGAATATTTTAACCTCGTGAAAATTCTAATTTTATCACATTCTCCCCCACCTATTTGAGTGACGTCCTCTTCACTGTATCATCTTTGTAGGAATGAAGTTGATCTTTAAATTGCTAAAGATCTCTTTGAGATTCCTATGCTTCTTCGCTCTTTGGTAGTCCCTTCTATTTGATCAAGTATTGTATGTCTGGTAGCACATCTCTTTTCTGCATAACTCGATGACTAAATATTTCTTCAACTCTTTGATCATATACCTTGGTGATGATTGGTGGGGCACATGATGACTTTCCTTGAGTTAAGTCATCATGATCTTCATGATAAGATTTTAACATGCTAATGTGAAAGACATGATGAATTTTTAAGTTAGTAGGAAGATCTAATTTATATGAGACTTTCCTTACCTTCTTGATTATCTTATAGGGACCTTTATATTTATGAATGAGGCCCTTGTATACCTTTCTAAAGGCTTTGAATTGTTGTGAAAGAAGTTTCACCATTACCATGTCTCCTACTTGGAATTCTATTGCACGCCTTTATTTATCTGCAAAATTCTTTATCTTCTTAGCAGCTTTAATAAGGAAGGATCTTGTTTCATCTGCCCATTCCTGCCGGGACTTAACCATGTGAAAAGCTTTAGGGCTCTTACCTTTTTAGGAGGTTGTGAGGGCATGTGGGGTGATCGGTTGTTGTCCTATCACAATCTTAAATGGGCTCTTTCCTCTCACCTTACTCCTTTGTAAGTTGTAGGAGAATTGAGCCACATCAAGTAACTTAGCCCAGTCTTTTTGATTGGCGCTAACAAAATGCCACAGATAACACTTAAGTAAAGCATTTACCCTCTCAATTTGCCTGTCTATTTGAGGATGAAAGCTAGTTGAGAAGTGTAGCTCTATCCCCAATAATTTGAATAGTTTCATCCATAGCTTTCCTGTAAACTATAGGTCTCTATCACTGATGATAGTTCTAAGAAGGCCCTAATACTTCACCACATTTTTGAAAAACATTCAAGCTGCTTCTTTAGCTGTGCAGTTCATTGAGGTAGCTATGAAAGTTATATATTTAGAGAATTTATCTATTACCACCATGATAGATTTGAATCCTTCTGGCTAAAGTAATGTTGAGATAAAGTCCAAGGAAATGCTTTCCCATGGTTGGCTCGACGTAGGTAAGGGCTCAAGCAGTCTTCCAGTTAATTGGTTATCCACCTTATTTTATTAGCATACAAGACAAGCCTTCACATATAGTTCCACATCCTCCCTCATGTGAGGATAATAATAGGCTGTTTTTAGCAAAGCTAAACTCTACTTTTAACTTAGGTGACCTGTCCATTTAGAGTCATGACACTCTTTGATCAGCTCTTTCTTTAGGTTTGCCCATTTAGGAATATACATTTTCCTTCCTAGAGTGTAGAGGATTTCATCTTCAACCTAAAACCTCTTAATCTTTACCTCTTTTGCTAGTTCCACTAACTGTAGGGCTATGGGATCTTGGGCCATCCCTTTTTCTTCTCAACTAAGTCCCTACTAACTTAGGTCAAGGTTGCTAATTCTGCCTTTCTACTTAGAACATCTATAATGACGTTAGCTGTTCTTGGTTTATACTTCATTATATAGTCAAACTTAGCTAAGAAGTCTTACCATCTTGCTTGTTTTGGCGTTAATTTCTTTTGAGTCTGTAAGTAACCAGTGGCTACATTGTTTGTCTTAATGATAAACTTTGCCCCCAACAAGTATTATCTCCAAGTAGGCAAGTAATGGACTACGGCTATCATCTCTTTTTCCTGGACCATGTACCACTTTTCAGTATCATTTAGCTTACAACTTTCAAAGGCAATAAGATGCCTCTCTTGCATTAGGACACCTCCTATAGTAAAGTCAGAGGCATCAATATATACCTCAAAAGGTTTGGAGAAGTTAGGACATGTCAATACTAGTTCTTCCATAACAGCCGCCTTTAAGTCCTTAAAGGCTTATTGGCACTCCTCTATCCAAGCCTAATACTTATTCTTTTTTAACAACTCTGTGAGAGGGGTAGCTCTTGTTAAATATTCTTTGATAAATCATCGATAATAGTTTACCAATTCCAAGAAGGACCGTAGCTCCGCCACACAAGTTGGAGGCTCCCATTCCTTTATAGCTTGTACCTTTTTCTCATCTATCTTAAGGCAACCATGTGAGATAACATGTCCCAAGAAAGAGACTTCCTCCATAGCAAAGGAGCACTTTTCCTTCTTCACATAAAGCTCATTTTCACGTAGGATCACACAGTTTGGAGATGTTTCAGCATGTTCCTCCAGTGTGTTGCTATAGACAACAATGTTGTCTAAGTATATTATCATGAATTGATCAAGATAGGGGTGATAAATCTTATTTATTAGGGTGAAGAATGTGGTAGGTGCATTAGTTAGTCTAAAAGGCATGACTAATCATTCAAAGAACCTATATCATGTCACATAAGTGGTCTTAGGTTCATCTCCTTTTGTAATTCGAACTTGATGATACCCAAACCTTAGATCTAGTTTGAAGAAGTACCGATCAAACAAGTCAACTGTCAAAGGAATAGGATATTTGTTTTTAAATTTACCTTGTTAAGAGCCCAATAATCAATGCATAGGCACAAAGACCTATCCTGCTTCTTTTGAAATAAGACTGGTGCTACAAAAGGTGCTTTTGATGGCCGGATGAAACTTGCATTAATTAACTCCTTTAGTTGCTTCCTTAATTCCTCTAACTCAGGTAGTGCCATACGATGTGGCGCCATAACCGGTGGTCGAGTTTTAGGTTCTAACTCAATTTCATGATCCACCTTTCTACATGATAGAAGCTTTTTGGGCAACTCAGTAGATATAATGTCTTGGTTCTCTACTAGGATGCAAGCAATTATGAGAAGGACTTCTTCCTTAACCTTGTCCCCAGATCCCTTCTTGACTTGTAAGGTCGAGAGTTGGTGTCCACCACCACCCTTCTTGTAGGTACAAAGCAAGGGTTTTCCTTATCCAGTATGCAAAGTAAATTATAGTAAGGCATAAGATAAGCGTTTACCTGCCTAAAGAACTTTAATCTTAGCACGACCTTGAAGTCATCCATAGGAGCTATGGAGAAGTCTATTTTACTACTCCAGCTTTCTAAACACAACTCAACCCCTTGTGCTATGCCATATAGTTGCTTAGGAAGTGAGTTAACTACCTTTAAAGTTCCTCCCTCTTGCACCACCTTGAGACTTATTCTTTTAGCCTCTTCTAGAGTGATAAAATTATGTGTAGCTCTAGTGTCACACATTATGGTGACAGGTAATCCATTCAGCTTCCCATCTCCATACAATAAACCTTTACCTTGAAGATTCTTTGGCAAAGGTTTGGCCTTTAAAGCATTGAGGAGTCGTAAAGACCCCATCTCCATATTAGGCTCTTCTTCTTCAGCTTTCTCCATAATGTCTGCCAACGTACCTAACTTTGAACATTCTTTCATTTGATGAGGACCTTTGCACATAAAGCATCCCGTCTAGTCCTCGAAGGTCTTCTTCTGTTTTTTAGGTTGTTTCTTTTGTTAAAACTTGCTATCACTCCCTTGGATGTCCCCTTGCCTTTGTCTCTCCTACTTTTTCCAAGGTTAGGTTTGAAAGACTTAGATTTAGAGGACTCACCTTTTTATGATACTTTATGAGACTTTCAACTACCGTGATTGCCTCATCAATAGTCATTACATCATGCCGTTGTAATTCATGCTTGGCCTAATTTTGAAGATCATCAATGAAATATAAGAGGGCTTCTTCACTACTTAGATTAGGAATCTGAAGCATTAAAAAGGTGAAGTCTGGTCTTATTTTGAGATCCCTCAGTTTCTTTCAGGCCTCATAAACTACGTTCTTTGGGTAGAATTGCCTCTTCAATTCTTTCTTGAAATCCTTCCAAGTATTAGTGGATTCCTTCCTCTTTCTTTTAAGAAAGTCTTGAGAGTGTTAAGCTGTTATTGCATCGTGGTGATGGCATTTATCACCTTTGTCTTTAAGGATCTCATGGCATCCTCCTGTTGATCCTCAGAGTTTTGTAAGATATCCATACTACTCTTTAACTCTTCAAGTTCTTTGAGAGTGTGGTCCTCCAATATACTCATATCACCCTCAACCTTCTCTACTCTACTCATTATTTCTTTTATGCCTTTCTTTAAAGCATCAATTTTTATAGAGAGTAAAGTAAGGTCTTCTCAGTATACCTTACTATGCCTCGTGCCTTCTTGCCATTTTAACATGGAGGCTGGGATTCCATTCTTCTCTTCTCTGTGTAGGCAAGAGTCTTCTCAATTACTCCGACATCCTTGCCTATAAATATTAACTCGAACCATGGCTCCCTCAAAACCTTAGCTCTGATATCACATTGTCATGGCCTTAGAACTTCTCTTTCCTTAAATTGTGTCAGCCTTAGCTTGATCAACCTCTTGATCTTGACTAAGTTAGCTGAATCTACAAAGTAGGCAAAGAGACTTAAGAGGACTAGTCACACAAGTAGAGAGTAGAGAACTTGAGTAAATAAAATTGAGAGTTTTATTAATTTGCTTGAATGGTTATAAATGAGGGTTGATGGGTATCTATTTGCTCCCCCCTTCTTTCAAAAAGTTCCCACTTCCTTAATGGACGGTTGGGATTGATTCGATTCAACGGTGTATATTTTATCTCTAGAATATTCTATAGAAATATCTACAAGAAATATTTTAATATTTATAAGGAGAATTCTAGAATGTACAAGATGAGGATATCTCTAAAATAATCTACATACTTCAAGTGCTCTTTACACTATTCTAAAGATATTTAGATCTTTTGAGGTCATACCAATGTATTCCAGAAGTCTCCAGTCCCTTCTTGATTGATTATTCTAGATCTCTCTAATCTTTTCCAGATCGTTTCGGAAGCTTTTAGAGTATTTTAACCTCGTAAAAATTTTGACTTTGTCACAAGCAACTACGTACAAGATGAATCAAAGTTTGAAGTTTTTGAACTCTAAATAAATAGAGCTTTCAAGTTTATTTTTGAATGTATGCTAATGCTAAACAGTAAAGCTCAGAATGCCATCCTAAAACTTCATCAAAAACATAAAAAAAAATATTTTAAGGTCTCACTTAATATAATTAATTACTCTCAAATTTATTTTTTATTATTTTTTATAAACTCAATTGTTAATAAACTTAAAAGGCAATTAATTACATTGAATGAAATCGAGATGTAATTCTGAAAAAAAAATAAACTCTGGGTCTTTGGATCCATATGATGAATTGAACTAGCTATAGACTCTAGCTAATGGAATTGATTTGAGCCTCTGACCTAAGCACTTCTGAACTGACGGGAAAGCACATAGGAAGGGACTGAATAATGGAATAACGTAACCCACCCATTCTTTGTTCCAACGTCCAAAAGCTTCCCTCTGAAGCTGATGCTTTCCCAGAAATTCACACGTTAAATCTTTAATTAATTGGACTCTCCATATATTCATTAATCACAAAGTACAGGCACTTGCATATTCCCTCCCCCCCTCTCCCTCCTAATTATATGTATTCTTCTCTTCTTCTTGCTCTTATAGCTTACATCTGTGCTTTTATAATTTTTTTTTTGACCTGGTACTTGTATAAACTTTGAAGTATACTATATATATATATATATATACTTATATCAAAATATATAGATTATTGCTGAGAATGTAGACACTATTTGCATTTTACCAATTGCAGATCTGGACCAAAAACCTGAAGAAACTCAGATTCATTTATAAAGGAAGGAAATGCTATTCCCACCATAGACTGTCAAGGCGAGATGAATGTGAACCACTATGGAGTATGTGCTTAGGAACATTAGGTAGGATATGTACGTCCCATCAGAACCTGACAACGCATAAATGTGCTAGCTCCACTAATGAGACTAGTTAGTACGAATAACAGATTAATTATTGTCTCAACTTAAATATAAATTATATGGATATCAGTGGAATGGCGGTGGGGACCGTGGATGGACTAAAGCTGGTAAGTGGTAACTATAGTAAGCGTATTTGATTCCAGAACTGAAAATTTTCAAGGTTATCTCTTGTCCTTGATGTTGTTTTTGATTCATGTGCCTTTTCAGCTTCATGACAACCCAAAATAGAAAACCAGCAGACTTCCATAAAATTTGATTCCATCTTCAAATTATATATGCAAACACGCGCGCACACTATATATGTACAGTAGGCTAACACTGTTCATATACTGTCATTAAAGCTAACAAATCATTCTTGTATTCTCTAACTTCCGGAACCCAATTAGTTTGTTTTAACGCTTTCCCACAGGTTGTAATTGTAGTTTTAGTAATGCAGTGATTGTTTTGTCATTGAAACATATCATATTTTAGCTAGCAGTAAAGAAGAAAGAACGGAAGTTAATTAAATATCCTGAAGGGGCGCCTAGTAGTAGTGTTATTTTATTTATGAGAATGCATTGCATTCACAAAACAGAAATAAAATTTTCAAATAAAAAGGAACAATTTGTTGCTATTCAATCATGACTAATTTGAATTTAGTAATTATAAATCAATTAATATCTTCAGACGATGAAAATATTGATGTCTTAACATGCAACATTCATATCGTATTTCACGAACTGTTGCTTTCATAAACATACAAACTTTATATAATTAAGTAAGCGCAGTACCAAGAACAATCAGTTGCTTTCACGACGAAGAAACACATTTTATATATAAGCGGTACTAGCATTGATTGAAAGTGATGTTAAAAGAGTTTGTTTGGTGCTTTCAGGAATGGAGGACGAGAGACTGTTACCGATTGCAAATGTGGGTAGGATCATGAGGCAAATACTTCCTGCGAGCGCCAAGATCTCAAAAGAAGGGAAGCAGACAATGCAAGAATGTGCGACTGAGTTCATAAGCTTTGTGACAGAGGAAGCTTCTGACAAGTGTCACAGAGAGAATCGCAAGACCGTCAATGGGGATGACATCTGTTGGGCTCTCAGTGCCTTAGGGTTTGATAACTACGCCGAGGCTATTGCCAGGTATTTACATAAATACAGGCAAGCTGAGAGGGACAAAATAATCAATAATCACAAAAGTAAAGCTCATGCCCCACTAACACAACACGTGCTTGAAGACTCTTCGGCAAGAAAATCAAGCTCCCAAGCCGAGAAGCAACGGCCTGAAATTTCTGCTGCATCAGAGAATAGGGTTCCCGAAGACAAGCCTCCTGGACAAATCAATCTCGATGAACTTACTTGATATCGTCTAATTAATTTCTGCTCCGATATTTGAAAGGTAATTTTGAAACTGTTTGCTGATAATCTGTTCAATCAGGTTCTTGAATTTTCTTCATCTCTTGTTCCTTTTCTTTACCCTTAATTTCTACTGTATCACTGTTACTTTTACATCCATTTTGTTCAAGAGATATTCTTGTAGTTTGGGCGTTATTAATTAAAAGCGAGCTGCTATCCAGTAGCTTAATACTTGCTATAAATTTAGATCTGACCTCGAGTATCGTCTAGAAGATCAAAGCCAGGTAAGGTCAGCAGAAGGATGATTTTTGCAGGAGGTATCTTAATTTTCATCGGAGAATTTGATTTCTTGAATTGCTATTAATTAGCCCAATTACAGATGATTTGAAGCAGCAGGAGAATTCTTTATAGAGATTGATGACCGATCCTCTATATTCAGCTAGTTAAGATAATCCGAGTCTTGCAATTCTTTAAGCGAATGATATAAGTCTTGCTATCTTTTGATTATTAGCTTCTTGTTTTTTTTTCTTCCTACTTTTCTCTTTGTTCTGAATCAACGGGGAAGAAAATCACTCTCAACTTGATCCTTAAAAAGTAGCTTCTCGTATCTTTTGCTGCAGAAATACAAGCCTCGTATTTTGAAGTTTCAAAATAAATTGTATGACTGTATTAAGTGTTCGATCTACGTTTGACCAATCCGAATTCCTGTATATTATCAAGATGATCTTATATAGTGCGCGGTTCCCAGTATTTAAATGTGGAGCATACATATATGAATGTATGCATGGGTGTGAGAACTAAAACATACTCAACAAGTTTTCCACAGAAGTTGCAGAGCAAGGCCATCTTTCTTGAAGCAATTATGCTTGGTACTGTAATAGTGTGAGACTGTTTCTAGAGCGTGTGGTTAATTAGGAAGCTGAGTAGTTCCTGAAGTGTCTTTCTCCCTCAAATCCCTCCCGACCGAAACTTACTGAACAAAATGCAGCTTCGATGGAAATTCTATATGAATACGATGAAATGGTTTCCAGTGCGGGGATTTAGCCACAGATAAGGTATCAGGTTGTCCTGGGGAACAAAATAATGGTGAATTCCAAATCCACCCAAGAAGTGAATGTCAGGGTATGGAAAACTGGCATATCAATGTAATAGGTTTTGTCGTTTTGGTTTCCTAACCCTAGAACCAGGGACCACTTCGTTTCGATGCTTTACATGTGCTTGATAAATCGTGAAAATCGAATCATATCTCAGGCATGCTTCGCTTTTACTGTATTCGAACCCATTAATTAGGTTAATACATCGCAATCTTCCACCGTACCTTTAGCTAGGGTTCTTAGCAATTGCAACGCCCTATCCATTTAATTTGAACTTGCGTTAGAATTTAGGGTTTCAGCATTCACAGCTAGGAATAAACCCATAAACCCTTGCCTCTTTGGGACCACTTTTCAACTGTACATCTCTCTCTCTCTCTCTCTCTGACACACGCAAATACTAAAAAAAAAAAAAAACTCATACATACATATATATATATATATATGTGCTCGTTGCTCTGATCAGATTTGATGTTACCTATAACCTCATCGTGACAGTGATATTTAAAATTTAAAACTAAAACTAAGCTTATGCGAGATTTAAATCCTAAAAAAGAAAGCATTGACATTAGTTATAAGGTTACGAGAGTTCAATACTTTATAAGCAGCGATCGAACTGGCATGTACCAGTGCAATCATGGAGAGCGTCACATTGAAAAGCTGAAAATACATGTTAGTAGCACTAAGTTAATCCTGTACATGTGGTTAAATTTCTGGATTTCTAAAAGTTTGTTGGTGACCATGAAGCATGCAATGAGGGGATGGTTTCCACAAATGAACAGTGTTCCCATTGGGTCCGACCATGCATGAAATTGCGGCATCGAGATTCATAAATTGCCTCCATCTTTACCATTTCTTTTAATCTCTTTACTTGTGGCAAACCGGCATTCAACCGCCCCATATGCACGTTAAATATATTTCATTGGAATAATATCGTTTAACTAGCTGTTAAATATGGATCCTTGACAGTTTCTTATAGCTAATATTATTGCAGATCTTGATGCACTTTAAGCTCCTAGTTGGATAATATTTGACAATTATTTACACGTTTAATCTGAAGTTAAAGAAACTGTCTTCGCATACATGTTTAATCTGAAGTAAAAGAAACTATCTTCAAATACATACATACATATATAACATTCAAATTTGCATCTCTAAGAGAAAAAAGGTTAAGATATATTTTTAGCCTTGAATTTTTTTTCAAAGAACATTGGGCACCCTATAATAAGCAAAATAATTTTACTCCTAATTTTTTTTTTGAGGAGTAAAAAACTCTTTCTATTAGGCTGCTGTTAACTTTATCATTTTTTACTGACATAGCATGCGCGTGGGGCCCCCACATAATGACAAGTAAGACTTCGACAATGTTTTTTGGTGTTAATATTAAAATAACTCTTTTTCTATAAGCGTTGAACACCTTATAGTGTTTTTAATAAATATTCATATTAAATTTATTAATTTTTTTAACATGGTTAAAGATAATAAGTCATCTATAAATTTATAAAAAATAGTTTGAGCTATTAATATTTAAAAAATTTATAAATTTTGGATGAATATTTATAAATAATAATATTTAATTTATTGAATATGAAAAATATCTAATATTTTATTAACATTTATTCAATTTTATCTTAACAAAACTTCAAAGTACTTAGTGCTCCTAAAAAAAATTTTAAGGTGCACAGGGCTAGTAAAAATAGAGTTCAAAGTCAAATTAGCACAAAAGAATATAGTCAGAGTTTTACTAATCACTGCGTGTGGGCAATACGCAAATGTCACGTCAACAAAAAATAGCAAATATAATGATTGACTAATAGAAGGAATTTTTGCTATAACATCTCAAAAAAATTAATGTGGTGTGTGCTAAAAGGATTCTAACAAATGTCTTAAGGTGTAGTTTCAGCCCTAAATTTAGGTTCAGAGTGAAGTCGGGTCATTCGAACCATAAAAGGGAGAAAATCAAAGGAATTTGATTTTGTGCCACTTGTCACGATGTGCACAAGATCCGTTGCGGCGCATCAATGGTAATTCTTGAAGGAGGGACTCTTTATGCCATGTGCCGCAATACATGTTGCAAGCGCTATAACACATGGTAAACAGTATGCATAGTAGCCACAAATTTACATTTAAAAATAGAAGGAGAAATAGAGCTTGAGAGAGAGGGAATGTGAAGCTCATGTTGGGGCTGCTAAGGCAAGCTATTTCTAAAGGGTTTTAGATGATTTGAGCTTGATTGCATCTTGGTACATCTTCATCCACCTCTTCTCTTCCACTCTACATAGGTTTTCAATTTAAGGTTTGCTTTGGGGGATGTTTTCTGATCCATAAAGGTTATGGATCCAAATCCATTAACTTAAATGGAGTTAATAGAAGCTGTTTTAGTTATTTAGACCTAACATTTATGACTTTACTCATTTTTTGTGTATGGGTGCCATAAATGTCCAAAAATAAGCACTTAATGTGGTAGTTGATAGTGATAAATGCCATCAATTGTAGCGTAAAAGCTTAATAAAACTAATGTGAGCTAAAGAGAGCTAATACAATTAATGGATATACCTATATTTGAGAAATTAGAGCTTTGAGAATTATTAAGTGTTGAGTAGGGAGTTGAAATTTTGGTTAATAAGATATTAATGATCTTTAGTATGATTAAATTGTAGATTTAACCTGCTTGGCACTACTTGAGCAAATTGAATCTTTGGAAATTTTTATTATTAACAGGTAAACTTTTGACTTCTTAAGAGTTTATGGTAACCAGGAAAAATTTTATTTGTATATTTGTATGTTAATTGATTATATAGTTTTATAAACCGAATTGAAATGCTTGAAATGTGTGAGATGCAAGCATGTTATGATGTGTTGAAATTATGGGTATGATTTAAAATGTTCATAAAGAATACAAGTATAGCTTAAAATTGATGTTTTGAATGGTATTTGGTACAATGACCTCGATGGGTTGAGAACGTGAACAAATGCATTGTTTGGTTTAGTTATGTGATAAAGAATAAGCTATGAATGTTGGTTCTAATACGGTAGTTATTAGATGTCGAGTGAGAAGGTATTTGTGTGAAATGAGTTGTGATATGATGGTTGATGAAGATATATATTACATGCTATTCATGAGGATTAGATGCATGCTATAAGTTAAACAATTATGCATTGCATGATCACTCATGTTAGGAGTCTTCCTAGAAAGAGAAGTACAGATTTGAAATCAACATGGTAAAGTTGCCATTCAAACCTTAATAGATGGCTTGCCTCTATTTATTTATTGTTCTACTTATTCTTTAAAAGACTGGCCCACTTATTTATTAAGAACTTAATTAGTCTCTGCTGGTTTTTAAGGAAACTAGTTTAGGTGTACGATACCTCATGATTGTTAGTATTATAGTTATGACTAGTAATTTAAATGAAAAGCATAAACTTTTGAAAGTTATATGAATGTCATTTGCATAGATTAGATTAATTTTAGTTATTGAATGATTATACTCACACTCTCTCTTCATTATGTACAGGTGTTAGCTCAAGTTATGATAGAGAAAAAGTGCTAGAGGTTTAGCATTTACTAAATCCTAATTGTAGGCCTTTTATAAATTTAATTATGTGCATTTTGGTTTGATAATTTGCCAACTAGGAAATCATGTTGTTTTGACTTACTTGCACTATAGTTGTTTGATTTAAATGTATATTTTGAGCCCTGAGTTATACATGTCTATAAACTTTAAATGAGATTAAAATAATGATGCAAATAAGGAAAATTGTATATGCATGTATGTGATGAATTATAAGCTAATTTATCATAAATTTGGCTCCCCTTTCTGTTTGTATGATTAAGGAATTTTGTACTAAAATTGTGATTTGTGCTGTTGGAAAGTCATGGTAGTATTGTACAAGTTATTTTTAGTCTATTGACTATGATTTAGGGGTGATTGTGGGCTATTGGCACTTGGTAGGGAGTTTGGACACTCTAGTGAAAATTTAAATGTTAAAAGGAATGACTTTGTGAATGAGCGTTCAACTTTTAAATAAAAAATGATATGATAGTGAAACTAGTGTCATTAGCTAGGGTTCTGAATAAGCTTTCTATAGACACATAGATCACTTCAATTGGACATCGAACAAAGAAATGGGATGCATTAAAAAGCAGCTTTGAAAGCTGCTATTTGACAGCACACTGTCAGGTCCCACATCGGAGGGACTTGGGGAGGGTCCTGACTATATAAATAGGTGCACTGCATACCTCAATGAGTTAGCTTTTTGAGGAGAGAGTAATGGTCCCGTGACAAAGTGATATTAGAGCCAGACCCGAGTTTGCCCAGTCGGTGGGCCACCCGTGGTGGGGGAGTCACAGATTGGTCAGGAGAGTTGTTAGGTCTCACGTTGGAGGGACTTGAGGAGGGTCTTGGCTATATAAGTGGGCGTGCAGCACACTTCAATGAGCTAGTTTTTTGGAAGAGAGAATGGCCCTGTGACAACATGTTATCAAAAGCTGTGTAATGTGCTACAGCATATGGTACAGCAAGGGACATGTATGGCATGGTGGTGACATCACTACAAAAAAATTGACTTTTAAAAGTTAAAATGTTGTGGCTGAAGCCACAATGTTACTACAAGAGCTCGTCACTGATTCTATTTGTGATGATAAAAAAGTCACCATTGAAAATATTCAATTAGAAAAATTTCTCATCTAAAAAAGATAGTCATTGTTGAAAGTTTATAATTGGCGTAATAAATGTCACCGCAAAAACCACACATCAATGGTAACTATTTAGTCGTTGTAGAAATTACCAATCAGCAGCAAATTTTTTATCACCGCTGAAAAATAATGCTAGTTTTTCTAGCCACATGGTGCCATATCACCCTTCCACTCTCATATGATGCCACATCACCTGCCACATGTCACTCGGGTTATCCTTTATGTGTCATCATATTACTAATTTATATTTTCATATCACAAATTGCCTCCTCCTCCAAGATTTGAACTCATAACCTCCCTCTTTTATGTCTCACCATTTTACCACTAAGTTGGGAATGAACCAATGATTAAATATTAAATATTATAAAATACCATTACTATAATTAAATACTTTAATTTTAATTATTTTAATATATTAAAATTGAAAATTATATTATTTATTTTTTCTAAAGTAAACTATAAATATAATTATTGAGATTAATGTATTATTTATTTTAATATTCATATTTATAATTATAATATAAAAATATCTAAGAATAAATGATAAAAATATAGATGATTATACATTAAATCATAATTATTTATTTTTCTTGCTAGTTTTATTTAAAATTTTATTTTTAATTTTAATTAATAATAACTATTAAGTAATGTAACTGGCTTATTTTTATACTACATTTTACTTTTTTAATTAATTTTTATTTTTAAATCATAATTTTATAAGAAAAATATACACTATATTATCTATTTTTTTATATTTATGTCACAAGATAGCATCAAACAAATAAAAATCATATGTCATCACATATATAGATATATTTCACATATTGTAAAAGTTAAAAATAAACTTTTAGAATATTTCATTTCTCTTATTTTCATCTTCTTTCCTATCATCAACCATCGAATTAGGAACATCTAAACCAACATCAAACTTTAAGTTTACCGGCATTAAATATAGAATTTGAATTGAAAAATTAAATTAGATGAAATATCTTTATATGAATGAATAAATTTAACTATCCTATGTCTAATTATTATAAATGAGTAATGTTATTGTTTAAAATATCAATTTAATACTCCAAATTAAAATATTAGACATTAGGTTTTTCAATAAATTTATCACTTCACATAGGAGTATGCATTGATCAATTCAGTTAGATTAGATGTTAATTGACTAAAACTAATGAATCAAATTGGCCTAAATAGTTGGACCGAATCAAATCAAACATTACTTGATAACAAAAATTGACATAAAATAATATGGTTTGGCTTAATTCTTTAGTCTGGCTTATTAACATTAAATAATATCTTAACTTTATCTTAAAATAATTTTATTATTTTAAAGTTACAATGTAGCCATAAAATATATTAAATAAAAAATTATTATGTTATTTTATATATTCATTATAAAATTACAATAATACAACAAATTTAATGTCTTAAAATGTTAAATATTGGATTAAACAAAATATGAAAAATTATGATGATGATATCTAGTTACTATTAGTTATTATGAAAGTCAAAATTTTAATGACAACATTTAAAATTGCTGCTAATCGATTGTGAATTTTTAGTAGCGACTTCTATGATGCCACTAAAATTTAGACCTTTGGTGGTGCCATACACTTGTTACCATTAAAAATTTGATAATCAGTGATGACTATATATTATTATTGTAGAAGTCAAATGTTCAACAATGACTTTTGTTGTTATCTTAGAACGTTCATTTTCAATGACGGCATTTTAGAGTTGCTGTTGAAAATTATTTTTTTTCATAGTGCATGTCGCGGTGCACCTTGTGTTTCCTGCACTAATAATTTTTTTGACCCTTAATGCAAATGCTTTGATACAATTTGGTATCTCATATTTTCATAATTATATTTTACTCTAATTTAAGTTGATGAAATGATATTTAATTAAAAAATTTAGGATCCCATTTATTTCATTTTACAAACTTGGTAATCCTTTTGAATTAATCTTGTAATTACCTTAATTTTAGAGTTAATGATGGATTAGTAAGGGCAATCTTACATTTGCTCTTTAGTAAATTAGTTCAAGAGAAAAATTGCTTCATTTATTAGTATAAAATGCCCATTGCTCATTAAAAAAAAATTAAAGATAAAAGTGCACTTTAACGCAAAATAAAGATATATTTGTCAAGCTGAAAGCTTAATAGTACTACTAACCGTACGTAGAGCTCCATCTGGTTAGTTCTTTTTAAGCCAATGATGATAACTCGTGGCATTATTAACATAGTTCCACGTAGGCATGGTATTAGAATGGACGTAACTCATTGTGAATATGGTGGCATATCAAGGCCAAACTAACTGTTAAAAGAGGACGTGACCTCGTTTAATATCATTCTTACATATGTATCCTCTCTGGAATCCATCTAATTAAGTACTCTTATTTTAGCTTATCCTCAGATGCTTTTTAAATTTGTGTTCTCATCTCCAACATTATATCCAGATATCCATTGGTGAAAAAATGTGGTCCATAAATAATTAAGTTGGCCTCTTAATTGCTGTAAATTACATTTTTATTCGATGAAAATTGCAATTTGCCCTGGATCTCGTTCCCAAGATACAATCTTCTTGTTTTGATTTCGATGCTCCTTCAAATGCCTTGTTACACTCAATTTTATGAATGACAGTGGTGGCTTTCTCAATGCAGAAAGTTTTGAAGAATCAAGATCATCATAATATATATATATACATATATATATATATATATATCAATCTACATGAATTCAGCTTCTTCTGCTACTGACGTGCACATAATGATGAGGTTCAACATTCAATTGCAACGCGAAAAAGAGAGAATTTCATATCCATCACCATTTCTCAGTTAAACAATTTGGAAGTTTAAGCCGGGCAAGGCTCCTTCGCTTACAACGAATTAATGGCGAAAGAATCGTGAGATTACCCTTTTTTTAAACCCTCTTTACATGACGGGACTCAGGAGTGGCCATTTTTCACATAACAAGGATATGTAGAAGCATCGTTATTTTTTCTTTTGAGTAAAAATGATATCATTACTCAAAAGGGGCTTACAAAAAGGCATGACTGGGGAAGCGTAGAAGCATCTATTTTCATCGAATGGAAAGATGGAGAGAAGGTACAAAGAGATGGCAGTAAAAGCGGACAACGAACAGTCGTTTCCTTTGATCAGCTTCCAACATAAAATTTTGCGTCCTTTCGCTGCAACTTTGCAATGGAGTTGGGAAAGACCCTCCCGTTTTAGGGTTTAATTTTCCTCCAGTTGAATGATTTAATGCTGTTTACTGACGCCAAATAACTAGTCTCCGTGAAAACTTAGGGATTCACCGTAGCCTTATAACGGCAAGGAAAATTTATTTCCCTTGAAATGAAAAAAATCTGCTTTGACTATTCGGCTACCAGCAACATCCGAATAAACAATATGATATTAGCAGATCAAGGAGGAGGAAAACACAGGGAGGGATGCTTCTTTCAGACTGATAATGGAGAAAATACTTAAATACATATTTGGTCACAAGGTCCTAGCTTCTTTGGGGAGGGCCAAAAAAGCTGGAAATAACGCCTGTTCATTATAATGCTGATTGAAAGCTTGTAACATTAAAGCAGAAACGAAGCTCGGGTCGAGCAGATGACAGCGACCTGTATTTCACGAGTCCAATCTCAGAACTCATAAGCACATTGATTTTCGGAGGTAAGTTCTTTTCTTTTCTTCTTTGCCTTTGCTTTTTGCTGTATGATGCGAGCCACCAGACATGCATCTTCAGAATTCAGAAGCGGAATAGGAGACGATTGATCATTTTTCAGATAGCAAGCGTTCAACAACCCCCACCCTTTTTTCTCTCTCTCTCTTCCAATGTTATGAATGCTCTTGCCCTGTTAGTTTTCACAACATACCCTTCAATAGTTAATATCGTTCACTTACTAGAGCCTTTGAAACAGAAACTGTGGTCAACTAACCAAATGGTAAGTGGAACTTGCATCTTTTATTTGAAGCAAGCAAAAATGATCTCTTTGTTGGGACCAAACAAAATCAGGTCACTTGATTAATAATAGCTTCCACAAATCCCCACCCATCATCAATATCAGGTCCTACCCAATATCCTGATATTACTATATCAGTGCAATAATCAACAATCAAATCAAGGTACCGAGTATCTGATATAAAACTTGGTCGTGCTGCTAAGTGATGATGGCAGCATTGATTCACAGAAGATAAGCCTTTTTTTGAACCGAAGGAGACGATAACCTTTTGAACTGCAAAGCACACAAATATTGCTTCAAATCCAAAAGTACAAATAAGGCGTCAATTACTAAAAGGCAAGACTATTCCTTGTTTTTGCTTCATAGTTTCCCATATTCATCAAAACATCTCACTACACATGTTTCTGCCATTGATCTTTAGGAGGCATTGGCGATTTGAGCTGTATTATTCACAAGATTGAACTTTTTTTCTTTAGATCATTTTATTTCATTTAGCCTTCTTGAATATTGGAAAATTTCTTCGTTTAATGGAAATCTTATACACATAAATAATTATATCCATCATGCATTATATGGCATTTGCCAAATTAAAATTTAGATAATCTCTAATTAAATAATAAAATAAATGTAGAAAAATGGTTAATAATCTCCATTCAAAAGCAGATTATTCACATTCAAAAGCGTTTGAAGATTCCGAAAACAATTACATCAACTAGGTTCTAAAATCTGGTGTTAATTGGCGCAGGCCGCAGAATACTACTACAAAATTTCCAAGATCATGGCTATGTGCTATTTTTTATTTTTTGGGGTAATATCCTAGCTACGATCTATTGTTAATAGAATAAGCAACCAGGAAAATAGGTGTGAACAGCTAGCTGTAGGTAAGTACTTATTATCTTAAATTAAGGAAAAAGAAAATCACTCAGATCTATCGACGGTGTTTTTACTTTTGATCAATAAAGTTTGGTTGAGTTGGTATGTGCTTGGCCTATATTCTGTAAAAACGTTCTGCTACCAATGTAACCATATTGTTAGTGACTAGTGAGTAATGTATAAATAAATCACAAGCACTTTTTGCATTGTGAGCCCATGATGTTCAACAAATCTAAATTTTTATGCAATTGAAAAAAGAAGAAAAGAGGTGTTTCTAGTTCTGAACCTATGGTAATCGAGCAATAGATGTTAAGGAAAAATACCTGATTGACAACTTGTTACCATACTCGCAAGTCTACCCAAAGCAAAATCTAATTGATGCCTTCTCTGCAAGTTAGTCACAAAAAACAAGCTTGCATTATTGCAACGTAAACATGAACAAAGTTCTCGTAATAAGGTGAGCATTGCATAAGCGAAGCAAGGTTGCAGCAATGAGCACAAAATGTCATCACTTAGAAGATTCCAGCATTTTTATGAAAGAAGTGGATCATGATTCCATAAACTGTACAAGTCACAGGGATAAGGCGGCGCACTTCTTTGATTTTCTTTTTCGTTGCTGTTGGGCTGGGAGGGGGGGTGAGGTAGTGGACGTTTTTAACTTATGCAGTAATGCTACCAGACCAAACTTGACTTCCTAAGTTAGCCCTTTCGTATTAATCAGTACGCAACCAGAGAGAAAGGGAAATCCCAGACAGGGCAAATTTCCGCTATAAAGCATCAACAGCTTTTCTGCATTTGGATTCCATAGGATACTTTATTTTACTTCATTGAAAATGAACTCCTTTAGTGTTTTCAAGAAAACGTGAAATTCGCGGCTAAACTTTTATGTATTCCGATATAAAATAGGCTATTACCATATTTCGCCCTCGTAACAAAGTTTTCTCATACAAAGAGAACTCATCCACAAAACGAACATTCACTGCGAGTAATTCCTTGGAAAACAGTCACCCGCGTACAATACAAGCTAATAGATGTGAAAAATTAAAAATGAAGCCCCAAACATCCATGACTAGTTTAGGATCAGAAACAAAGGTAATACAAAAAACAAGTACCTTGGTTAGAGTATGTGAAGAGCGCAGAGGACCAACGAAGCAGATGGGAACTAGGCTCGCCATTTTGCGGCCTCCGCTTTTGCCGCTTCGAAAGCGGGAAGGGCAACTGACATTCTACCCTGGTTCTCTCTTTCCCCTGATAATGGCACAATACAACGCAGCGTGACTACTTAGCCAAAAAAACAAAAACAAAAAAAAACAAAAAAACAAAAAACAAAACAAAAAACAACAGAAAAAGAAAAATTGAAAAAAATTTGATGAAATAAAAAATAATAATTAGCATATAGTGTGAAAAGTAAGATAAATAAATATTAAATTCTAAAATATAATTAGAAAAAATTTCAGTTAAGGATTAAAGAAGAGACTTAATTACGGGTGGGTCTCAAGAAATTTTAAAACTTTAATTCAATTCAGGAAAAAAAAGTTAAAATTTTAATGGTAAAAATATCAAAATATCCTTATACATAATTATTAATTATTAATTTTTTTATTTTACTTATTAATTTACTAATATGAATTGCAAGTTATATGGGTTAATATGTTAATAATTATATAAAACTTGATATCAGTTGTTCAGTCATAAGCAACAATATTAATTGTTACATTGTTAACTTTACTTGGTAATTTAATAATATTAGTTGCAAAATTACTAACAGGTTTTATAATTTATAACTAATGTTAATAATTTAACAAGTAAAGTTAGCAAATTAACAACTAATGTTACTGATTGCCTGACAAACGAATGTAAGTTATAAGTGATGTCGGTAAATTAACAAGTGAAGTAAGAAAATTAACAATTAGTAATTCTACATAATAAGTTAATGGTATTTTAATTTTTTTATTATTAAAATTATTTTGACTTTTCTCCTTTAGACTAAATTGAAGTTTTAAAATTTTTTAAGACCCATCAATAATTACCTTTCTTACCTAGTCCTTAATTAGAATTCTCTCATATAGTTATCTCCAAGGGTGCAAAGTTAAATTTTTGCATTGTTTAATGGGATTATTTGATTACATGCTTTTAGAACAATAGTTTAGAAAAACAGGAAGAAAAATATGCTCGAAAATGTATTTTTTGTTGTCTTACACAAAAAATAAAAAAGTAAAAAGTTGTTCCAAAAAACTAAAAAAAAAAACCAAAACATTTTTCATGTGATAAAATATAACACCTATAAATAGTAGAGAAGAATAAGATAAGATAGGAAATGATTCATGAAAAATGGAGAAGAATTTCTTATTCATTCAGGTACATATGTTTTGGACAATAGACTTTTAATCATTAAAGTTCCATCCTAGTGTTACAAAGACATAAAGAGACATATTGTTGGATTGGGAGGCACATCAAAAAATTAAAAAACAAAATCCCAATCACAATTACAGACTGATCTAATTCATTTAAATCAAGGTAAATAGAAGAGTTACATTTTAAATGTCAAACTTTCTAGATTCTTTTGAACCTTAAGAGCTGACAACGCAAATCTGCTTTCTCTACCGACATCCACATGGACAACTTACCAATATAAACAGCATAATAGCGCTCCTAATATCTAACATTCATATGTGCAAAAGCTTTAGAAGACCCAATCTTTTGACCTTAGTTAGACACTCCTTCTCTTTTTAGGGTATTTTTGTAGTTTAAAAATTTTTGCCGTTAAGAGACTTTTAATTTAGAAGCTCGACCCTTCTTTCTCTTATATAAATTAGGGTTTTGCTCTTCCTTTATGACTTTTTAAAAAATAATCATAATTATTTTAAAAATTATATCTTGAGCCAGCAAAAATAAAATTTAATTTTTTTCATAAATTAAATTTATGATATCATATCTTATTTAAATTTATCTTATAAATTTAAATTATAGAACTCATATGATATCCTCTCATATCATGTTAGTTATTAAAATTAATCTATCATATAAAATTAAATTTAAAATAGCATAATATAATATAATATATAATATATAATATATCATATATATATATAGATTCATAAATACATACATGCATATATATATATATATATATATTTCAAATATATATATAATATTATATTTTGAATTTTATATTTTATACATATAAATATATATATCAGATAAATATTCAAATACACATACACACACAGACACATATATATATATATATATAATTCATTTACCCTAGATAAACATTATATTCATTAAATCTAGACACATTTTTTATTCAATGAATTTAGATATTACGGCTCAAGTTTGGCTGTTTTTACATACGACCCTGTAGGCCCATATAAAATTAACAGTAGGTTAATAACGTTATTAGCCCACAAGTTATAAGTGACCTCTAACAAGACATTGTGACTATCCAATTTATATAGGGATCAATGATTCAATGTAACATATCATATAACCACATCACATCTCATTTGTCACACGATATTTTAGTTAAATGTAAGACATGAAATTATCATTCTCCTTCACCAAACTATTACTTTTTCGATTTATGAGTGGACTGATTATAGTAATGAAAAATTTATTTTCATTGTAATATGGCTATATATTTTTTAGTCTTACTTATCGAACGGCCTGATAATATCTTTCAATTAATGTGAAAGACAAATTTCATCTTGACTACTCACATTCTTCTGCATAAATATTACTAAACTCAATCATAGTCTTTATGATCACCCAGTTAAAGGTGACTTTTGACTAGGTCAAAGTTTAATAGTTATCATGTAGGAATCCATGATAATCTCAAGTCAAAGAATTTAGTGACATAGTTACATATGAGATAAGCTTATGATTCGTATCATGCAACTCTCTCATAGCATGTCGGTCCAGCACCTAAAACCCTTTCAACTGCTTACGACTTTTATTTATATCTCTATTATTAATTAAATTCATAATAATCTTGTTTCATCTATGATCCTCATAGATGATCGATTAGGGACATCTAGAATAATCACTATAGTTTGTCCAAAGATATAATCATCATAGTGAACATATAATAATAAAAGAGAAATTCATTAAATAATAATGTTCATAATACAATGATTGGCCCGATGACACAATTTCCAACGCATATAATGGTGTATTATGTAGCCTTTGAAGGTTATATGGTATCAACTATAAAAAAAACTCCTTTTAAGTCATTCATTAAGACATTAAAGATAGATGAATCCTAAGAGGTATAGGTTACGGACATCCATATCATAATATTGATAATACTCCCATTTTTTTGCCTCATTAAAATCCTACTAGAAAAAAACTAGTGAGATAAAAGCCTAGTGAAGGAAAAAGAGTACACAGTAACTTTAAACACTTGTTAAAGTTGCCTCATTAAAAACTTTTACCAAAAAACTTACTAAGACAAAACCTTGGAAACTTGAAAGGTAAAAAAAAGTACAACATGATATTTATTCCTCATAATGACACTATCACTTTATATCTTTGAATATGTGTATTCTAATACCATACATTAATTTCTCAAATATTAAAGTTGACAGCCTCTTAGTAAACAAATCTACAAGATTGTTGCATGAGCGAATTTGTTGAACATTTATATCATACCTCTTTAAAAGATCATAAGTGAAAAAGAATTTTGGAAAAATATATTTTGTTCTATCTTACTTGATGCATTCTCCTTTCAATTAAACTATACATGCTGTATTATCTTCATATAATATTGTTGAAATCCTCTTTTACAACAACAAACCACACATTTTTTAGATATGATGAATCATTGACTTTAGCTAAACACATTCTCTGCTTGTCTCATGAATTGCAATTATTTTTATATGATTTGATGAGGTAACAAATAAAGTTTGTTTTATTGAATGCTAAGATAGTGATGTACACTTACAAGTAAACAAATATCCAATTTGTGATATACCTTTATGTGAATTTGATCAAAATCTTGCATTTGCGTAATCAATGAGTTGTGATTCAAATTCATTAGAATAAAATAATCGCATGTCAATTATCCTTGGGAGATATTGAAATATGTGTATAACTCCATTCCAATGCTTTTTTTTAGAAAAGAACTAACTCTTGCTAATAAACTTACAACAAATACAATATCATATCTTGTTGAATTAATGAGACATATTAGTGCACCTATAGCATTGATATATAGTACTTCAGAATCAAGAAGTTCTTTATCTTTTTCTAAAGGGCAATATTTTCTCTTATCAAGAGATCTTACAACCATCAAAATAGTTAATGAATGTGCTTTGTTATGTAAAATAGCTTCAATATTCTTTCAATGTAAGTTAATTGATGAAGAAAATTTTCATTTACTAAGTACTCGATTTGTAAACTAAGGCAAAGCTTTATTCTTCCAAGATTTTTCATTTTAAAATCTTTCTTTAAATAATCAACTACCTTTTGAAATTCTTCAAGAGTTCTAATTATATTCAAATCATCCAAATAGATAGCAACTATAATGAAATTTGACCCATTTCTTTTTATAAAAACACATGGAGAGATTGGATCATTCTTTTAACAAATATTTACTAAGATGGTTGTACTACATTCTTTTATATTATTTTAGTCCATAAGAAGATTTATGCAAATAAATTGCATATTTTTCTAGAGAACCTTTACATGTTTTTTGTAATACCCACAATAACTAATTCACTAATTAAACCACACTATCAAAGTAATTAAAGCTAATGTCCTTAGTTAACTATTATCATAATAGAATAGGCTTAACCATGGTTATAAAAGAAACAATATCAAAAGATAATTCTTTAAAACTAGGATCCTTAAGATAAAGCAATAATTTTCAAATTCATTGAGCTCAACCAACATAAAATCAAAGCAATTACACAAACAAAAGCAATGGATAATCATAAAATATGATTATCCAATATCATAGAGACAAAACGATCATTTCTATAACCTATTAAAATAACTACAATTGACCTCAACAATTCAATATATAAATTTCTGGGAGTCAAAGACATTTAATTTATAATTCACCCAAGGATAACAATATTCAAATTCACATAATGTCAATTGTAATATTGCTAGCTATATCACAAGTTCCTTAAACTCGGATTAACAAAAATGGCTAAATATCTCACATTTAACAATATTTCAAAGCTTATTCACAATAGTATAACTAATCCTAAATACAAGCTCTCATGAACTTGGTTCTCAAAAAAGTT